AAGAGAGGGAGCAATACAAAAGAGAACCTAAATTTTTATCTTATATATTTCTGTATTGCTTAAATTTTCAGTAAATAATTATTTTTGTAACAAAATCAATACATATATTGCAGTTTTTATAGCTGTTAGCCTGTAAAAGAGTCATTTATCCCCAAACTCTCACTATAAACTTACAATATAAAGTATAAAATAGTATATTATTATTTTTAAAAATTAAATTTATTTTAAGCTATGTATTAAAAAACACAAATATCATACATACTACTGGGGCACTATGATGTTTCAATACAAGCATATATCATATAATCAACTTAAATTTATCTAACTTTTATCCTTTTATGATTATGAAAGCATTAAAAAACCTTTTTTCTATACTTTTGATATACAGTGCATAATTACTCTATATAGTCACCTTATTTTACAATAGCAAGCAAAAACTTACTCTTATCTAATTTCATTGTACTACACATTCACCAACCTTTCTCCATCCCTTGCTACCATCTACTGTCCACAGCCCCTGCCAACCACTATTCTATTCTCAGTTTCAACAAGATCAACTATTTTATATTCTACACATAAGTGAGAACTGGGAAATGTCTTTCTGTGCCTGGCTTATTATGCTTAACACAATAACCCGCAGTTCCATCCATCTTGTTCCAGGAGTGGGATTGCTGGATCATATGTAAGGTCTAGTTTTAATTGTTTGACAAACCTCCATACTGAGTTTCATGATAGCTGTATTAATTTACATTCCCACAAACAGTGTGAAAGGGTTCCCTTTCCTCCACATGCTTACTAGAAATTATTTATCTTTCATCGTTTCAGTAATAGTTATTATTGGAATGAGATAATATCTTATTGCAGGTTTGATTTGCATTTCCCTGCAGATCAGTGATACTGAGCATTTTTTCACATACATATTGGCTATTTGCATGTCTTTTTTTAAAAAAAGTCTATTATCTATTGCCTATTTTTAATTGGCCTATTTGGTCTTGAATTTGTTTCTTTGTTGGTTGCTGTTAAGTTTTGGGTTCTTAACTTCTGGAGACTTGATCAAAGTGTTGGCAGGGTTTTTTTCTTCTAAGGCCTATCTCCTTCCATAGCTGAACATCTCCCTGTGTCTTCATGTGTTCTGTACCTATCTTGTTCAAATTTCCTTCTTTTATAAGAGCACCAGTCATATCAGAATAGGGCCCACCCTAGTGATCCCATTTTAACTTAACTATCTTTTTACGGTCTTATCTCCAAATACGGTCACATTTTGAGAAACTGAGAGTTAGAATTTCACTTATGAATTTTGAGGGTTCTCAAGTTGGCCCACAACAACTTTATTGTTCAGGAAGTACATCAATTTAGGGGAAGGTAAATATTTTAATTTTAAGAAATAAACCAGACAGTTTAGTAATCAATCCATTAAAAACGCACATAAATTTGTGTTGAGAATGAGTTGATCTTCTGTTTGAAATTATTTTTAAAGATAAGCAACTGTGGACAACGCATTATTCTTAATTTATGTGGATTGTGTGATGTTTTATTCCTAATGTCCATCTCATTCTTACATTCTTCTTTTAATCTCATGCATTTTGGGCTCTACTAAATTCACAACCTCTAGCTTAACCCAGATCTTCATTTCAAGAGTAGAGATAAGAAGTTTTACCAGTGATGATCTTCACAATATGGATAGTATTATGCTGAATGAAGTGAGATCACCTTTGCAATACACTTATGGAATAAAAACATACATAATGATTTGCTTTAGTATGTCCTATGGGAAAAGGTAAATAATCTCTTAAAAATTTCTGAGTGCAATATAACCAAGGTTGACATAAGATGTAATATGCTAAACTGTGGCTCAGATAACCTGGGCTTTAGTCCTTTCTGAAACTAGAATCAACACGATTAGATGAACATATTTTACTTCTTTGAATCTCAGTTGTTCTAACCATACAACATGAATGCATGAATTTTAACAATCTATTTATAAGAGGAATTATAAGGATAGTCCTGAAGTATATTATGGATCTTAGAAGAAAGATCTTTTGGGTCATCTCTAATACATACAGTTATAATATTTGCTACTATTTATTATGTCTTTATAATGTGCCAGTCACTATGTTCAGATATTTACATATATCATCTCATTCATGCTCAAAATAACCATGGAAGGGGGCTGGGGACTTAGCTCAGTGGCACAGCGCCTGCCTGGCAAGCACAAGGTTGTGAGTTCGATTCCTGGTACCGGAAAAAAAACAAAAACAAATAAATAAAACAAAATAACCAGGGAAGGCAATTATCACCTATATTTCACAGAGGAAAAAGCGAGACTTAGGTCAAGTTCCCCAGTGTCATATATTTGGTATCTGGCAAAGTTGATATGATTCCAGGTAGGTCTAACACCAAAGTCTGATTATTTGCTACTGTTACAATTCTCTTAACAGTCTATTATAGATTGGAATTCATCAGGTAATAGCTGTATTAGTTTATTCTACTGCATTATTTTCCTAGGGCTGTGGTAACAAATCCTGACATATAAAAAAGTAACAACTGACATTGTTAATACTTAACATTTACAAAGCACACTAGTACTGTATACTTTCTCTAGCTTACAATAAATGCGTAAGATGTTATTGAACTAGCTTCATTTTATAAAAATGGAAGTTCGGACAGTTGAGTTACTTTCCAAGGTCACAAAGTTAGTAAATGAATGTTAGAACTTCAGTACAAAACTTCTGTCTCCCAAATCTTGCATTTTGTTCCATTGTATTAATTTTATTTTTTATTGTATTAAGAAATACAAGAATGATAAGGAGAAAGTGCTTTGGGATCATAGAATCTTAGAGTCAGAAGAAAACAATAAAAGTCATATATTTCTGCAAGAATCTCCTAGAGAACTCAAACCCTGATAACTAGATTCATATTGCCAATAAAGTGTCAGACTGAGTCAGGCTTACAAATAGCACTTCACACTGGTGTAGTTAAAGTTAGGTTCATTGATAACATGCAAAAATGAATACATGCTATTTTAGACATTGGAAAAAAAACAACTGAGTATCATGTTTCTGAGTAAGGAACTAAGCTAAGTAAAACTAAATTGAAAAGTGAAAGGCAAATGCAGGTCTTCTTAAAGGTTTAGGCTTTGAGGTCAGACATTTTGGATTTGTGTACTACCACTCACTGGTTAGATGCCCTGGGATGTGTTATTTAAGCTCTCTAAATTTCAGTTTCCTTCCATATAAAATGGACATAAGGAAACATACATCATTCAATTGATATAAGTGTTGAAGGACATAATGTATATACAATACCTAGCAGAGCAGTGGCATAGTAAGTTGTAGTTTTAATAATAAGAATAGTATTGTTGTTCCTCCTCTTATGGTAGAGTGTCATCTAAGTCCCCATTCCACTTGCCTTGAAATTCTGTTGTGAAAATATTTATTTATTTTTAATATTTGCATACAAAAGATGATTTCTGACCTTAAGAACCATACATAAGAATAAACGGCAGCATGCCATGGTAGTGTACACCTGTAACGCCAGCTACTTGGGCCTGAGGCAAGAGAACTGAAAGATCAAGCCTAGCCTGGACAACTTAGCAAGACCCCATCTCAAAATAAAAGCTAAAGCAAAAAAGGGGCTTAGGATGTGTAGTTCAGTGTAAAGACTCAGGGTTCAGCCTCCAGGACCACCCACGTGCACCCATGAGTGTGCACACACAAAAGTAATAGGCAACTTAGCACTTACTCTAATGATAATAATAGTAAATATTTATTGGTCATGAGAATGTGCTTTGTTCACTTCTATTCTAAATACTTTCTAAGCATTAACTCATGTTTTTACAACAACTTTATGAATTAGGTAGTATATTCCTTTTGCATATACAAATGAAACGAGAACAAGGAGGCAAAACAATTTTGAAGGTTTGAAAACATTATGGGGTACACATTCAGGCTGTAACAACTCAATCAAGAAAACTGGAAATGTTCAATTAAAAATGGTTATCAATACAGAAAAAGATTCAAGTGTTAACCAGTTCACATCATAATTTAAAAATTAAACCATAATGCACCTAAGAATAATTCTTTATAAAGTGGTAGAGACAGAATTTGAATTCATAATTCTAGCTCTAGAACTCACATTTCAACACTAGAACCCACATTTTTAACTAGCTCCAGAACTCACAGTTTTAACTACTATAGTCTCCTGACTCCCAAGCACACTGTTCTGTTGTCTCTATATCCAATTTCTGCTACATGACTAATAGCACACTAGGGCTCTAAAGCAGCATGATATGAATGCTAGATAAGTTAGCGTGTTATAACAATTAACTGCCATGAAGTGAGAATTAAAAGTGGCAATGCAAAGTGGCTGAAAACATATTCTGGCTATTGCTGATAAAATAATGTAAAGTTAAAGGTTTGTTGAGAATCTTAGCTTATACTTTAGAAACTTGACATGAAAAAAATAAGAAACCTGGCATAAATTGCAGGTGAAACTAAAATGCTAGTGATGAGTAAAGATAAGCATGGGAAATATACTGGAACTATGATGGAATGAAGAATGTGGCCCTTGCAGCCCTTTATCCTTTGAAGAATGATGGATTGGGAAGAATTGCCAGGGACTTAGGAAAATAGTAATGAACCAAGATACAGGCAGTGGTGGCAAACCTATGGTTCCCATGCTTCAGCAGGCTGATTATATCATTGAAAGCCCAAAAAGGTTAACCATTACTGGAGTAAGGTAAGTGTGACAGACAGATTGTTTACCTATGTCCTTCTCTACCATACATGCTGGTAATTTCCAATTTCTTTCCTATAGCCAAAGGCACAGTGAAATTATATTTTGTTGTATTTCTTGTTAAGCTTCCTTAAAACCATCACCCTAAACTTTCCAATCACCTAAGAGTTTCTGGGAAATGTTGCTCAGTTTATAAGCGTTTATGTGATTTAGTTTTAGATAGAAGGAAATGGTCCCGACCAATACAATTTGCAAGATCTACTTACCCTTTTCTGCTGTGCTCAAAACAGTCACTGTGAAAAGAGTGAGGGAGAGAGAAAGAGAGATCAAAATTAGTGATATTTATGTTTTTGTAAATTATTTTACACAGCATCATTTTTGAGCAATTTATATAATGATAGTACTACCCTAAGAGAAAGAAACACAAGGATGATTAGATTCCATTATTGGCTAGTTCCTTCATCTCAGACCTTCAGTAATTAAGAATTTCCATTCATTCAAACAATATAGGTAGAATCGTTTTTAAAAAAACCAACTAAAAGAAACAACTAAGCTATATTACATAGAACATCAAAGCTGATAAATCAGGAGGTGATTACAGATGCGTATTTATTATTATTATCTCTGAACTAAAATTTTACAGAATATCAGAAGAAGAACAAACTTTAGTGACTATGAGGATTACTTTACAAATGGGGGGATAACTGGAGCACTATCAAATGATTTGCTTAATATCATAGAGCAAGTCAGTGGAAGAGTTGGGACTGAAGTCTAGCTTCTAGAACTCTTACCACATAATGTATTTACCTCTTTTAATATTTCCTTGCCAGTTTAATGTGAGCTATTCATTACCTTCGTTCAGAATGCTGTGTGTACAGAAGGAGTCTTACCTGTCTTTATTCAGCACCACCATCTGTGTATACTTATACTAGATGCTAAATTAAACTGAAATTACAAGACCTAGCTCTCAATCCTGTGGAACTGTTAAAGTAAGATTGTTTTCATACATAATAATGAATGGTAAAGGATCAGAACAAATGTGCTAAAATCAAACAGTGAATGAAAACTATGGTCTAGGTGCTACTTTTTCAGGCCTTTCATCAGTCATACTTTCTCTTTTTTAGTATTTCTTTTAAACCTGTTCTATTTTTAGCTAAAAATCTGACCACATGATGGTTTTTCTATTTTCTAATACACTCACCTAGAGACTGGTAGTAAGTTCTTGTTTTTTTTTCCAGTTAAAGAATCCTAGTTCTGAGTTACGCAAGAAGTACATATTCTGACAATATAAATAGGAGTGTGAGTAAGAAGCCTCAGTGGGTCAACTTGGGATTTTATGATTTTGTACAAACATGCTGCATGAACAAATCAGTTCCATGAGCCCTTAAATTAGGCTAATAATATCACTTTAAAATGAAGTAAGAGAGAACAGAGTTGTTTGGACCCCAATCTTTATAAAACACAGCTGCTCATCGATGTACCTCCTTCTACCTCAGCCTAGAAATATGCATTTATTTATTTATTATTTTTACATGACACGTCAAAAAGTTGCACATATTATTGGGGTATAATAGAATGTTTGATACATGTATATACTGTTTAAATCACTTTTTAAATAAGAAGGGGCAAGTTCTAACTCCCATTTGCTTGGCTGTTTGCTACAGTGCTGTGGGTAAGAGAAGATCATCAAGTACTTGTAGATATTGGGATGAGACAACATGTAAATGGAGAACGAATGAGAAGCAGTGAATTCGCCAGGTATGAGAAACCCTTTTTAAGAACTCTTACGTGTAAGTGGGATTGATTTACATGATCTAAGAGCAGAGATACAATCAGCAGATAAAAGCATCAAGTTAACAAATTTTAGCTCAGTATAAGAAAAGATAATGTTGAACAAGTATAGGAGGAAGATGGTGAAAATGATCACTAGCTTTGGGAAAGAGTAAGTTTCTCATTACAAACACTTGAAAATGTAGTGGACATTCAGATATTGGTTTGGACGTGGACTTGCTTTTTCGGTCTTTCTGCCCCTTGAAATTCTGTGAGGATCCAATAAGTCAAAGGGACAAAATATTTTCTTGCAAAATTCCTTGTTGGAAGAGAATTATATACTTCTGAAAAAGACAAATGCCTTCTTCTAAGAGATTGTGGCACTTATCTCAGTAGTTTTTCCTTTCTTTTATTTTTCTAACACTGTACAGCCTTTTGCACTATTAAAGGAAGAAGCTGAAATACTTTAATCATATTTAAAATGAAAATGTTGTAAGAGTCACACTGAACTTTTAGAAAAGGAATCCTTTATCATGAATCTCTTGCGTAAGGGTACAGTTCACCAATTCTAGGAGTAACTTGCCATACATGATTATAAAGTACTGTGGTGATACATATAATTACACCTCTTCTGTTTCTTCAAATTTCAGTTCACTACTAGGAAGGTGTTTGACTGGAGTCATCATCAAATAGTTTTTTACATTGTCTGACCTCTTTTCCTCATTTATTTACTGATTCTTTGCAATGAGGTATGAAGAAAATTATGGAAAAGTGGAGTATACAGAATAATATACAGACAACTGTGTTAAAACCAAAGCCTGTGCCATAAATTCTTTTAAGTAGATGTACACTGTATTTTCAGAGAAGGTTACAAGTAGAATAAACCTAATCTGTGTCCTAATGAAGATGATGAACAAATATACTACAAAGGACATGAAAGGAACTCTACAACACTACTTTGAAATAGAAACATAATGAGATCAGGTCATTTTAAAATTTCTAGTAGAAACATTTAAAGCTAAAAAAATTAAATGAAATTAATTTTATTATATATTTTATTTAATCAAATATATAACAATATTTTCAACATTTTAGTCATACATACTATTGAGTCTTGCTTTTATTCTTTTTTGTACTAAGTTTTGAAATGGTGGTGTGTATTTTATGCTTCAAGAAAATCTCAATGCAGATGCTACATTTGAGGTACCTAATAGATGTGTAGGGCTAGTGCTAATGAATTATTATATTACAAGAGGATCTGTAAATGTACAATAGGAAGATCAAAAATGTAGGATACAGTATGATTCATGCTTCCTTACAACATGAAATTATCTTTAAATTAACTACATGATTGTGAAGGGAGTTTATCGTATTAATGCGTAGCACATATTTAGTATGTATTTACCTTCTTGATCTGATACTTGTTCTTTGACCTTGGGCAAATTAGTTAATCAGTCTGTACCTCAGTTTCCTCATGTATGAGGATAAATTATTTATATCATCAGGTTACTATAATGTTTAAATGATAATAGAAGTGTTAAATATTTAGGTGCCTGGCACACAATCTGTACATAATTATCATTTTTCTGAGAAACATGAATTTTTCAGTAAGGTTAGGTTTGAAAATAAATTTAGGATAAAATAAATATGTTTTTAAAAAATTGTAGATACCTTAAGTGACATATGATAGCTTTAAAGTAATTTATTCAATGTCAAAATAAATGCCTGATTTCCAGTTTTCCCCTTAGATATTTCTTAGTGGATTAAAAGAGGGAATAGAATTTCATTTAGGGAACTGAAATACATTTCTGATTATACTTTGCTTGTTCGAAGCAAGCTAACAATGCCATTCTGCATTTACATCCCTGTACTAGTCATTAATTTATTTTTGATTCAGTTACTCTTAAACTTGGATGATCCTAATAATTCCTTAGGGAGCAGAATAACAATACAAATTTCAGGACCCCCTTCACATAAATCTCTGGATAGAGGCACAGGAATTTGCATTTTAAAAATTCAGCAAGTGATTCTGATTTCATCCAAATTTAAGAACCACTGAATTTATATTAGAAGTTTGCTACTATACCTTGCTAGTCACATGTGATACATATGGATGAGTTCTATGAAACTCTTTTAGATGTGGTAATATGTAGTATAATTTATATAGGCCTGAATGGATAGGTTTTACTTCTGTAGCAACTTGGTTTCTAGAAAATGGTCATTCTCGCATTTGCTTTTTCTCTTAGTTTTCATTTCTTCTGATTCTCTTTGAAAAATTTCTGCCTTTTGAGCAGAATTAGTTCCTAGAGCATTTGTTAACCTCAAAATGCACGCGATTTTCACCAAAAATGGCAGAGTAGGGAATTCTGGAGTTCCACCTCTACATAAGAGCAGGCAATGAGCTGGCAAAACTGTCGGAATCAGGTTTTGCAGAACTCTGGAATCTGATAAAAACTTAAAACAGTCAGAAGAAAGATTTGATAAAACTGCTAGTACTTTGTAGTAAGTGAACGTTATGACATTTAAAATTGACTGCCTATTATCCTCCAAATCCCACATCACTAGGGGCTATAAGAATGGCTTATAGTCCTGGTGTTGGTTTTTAATGCCAGAAGAAGCAATGTGGATCCTATTCTCAAAGAATTGTGGTTGTGAGCCTCAATTATCTGGTGAGTCTATCAAAGACCGATGCAAAGGCTTCCCTGTGTTTTGTCTGGTTGAGAATTTCCAGGGCTTGGCCACATTTCTGGGTAGTATAGCCAGAAGTATTTAGAGGCATGGAAACTTCAGCAAAAATCATCATTTGACAATGGACAGAAAAACAACTGGGCAAAGACGTTAACAAATGGTATAGGCGAGTAATAAGGGCATTTAAGTGCTATCATGTGTATCACAGAAGTGAGAAGACATGCAGACACCCAACATAGTATGTATGCTCAGAAAACCCCGAGAAGAAAGCTTTCACCTTTAGCTGAACTTTGGGTCCTGTAGAACAGGAAGTGAATGCTAAGGCAAAATAGTAATCCATCTGATTGAGAGTTGAAGGACTGGTCTGATACAGAGCCAATCTACAAAAGTCTGGGAGATTGTATTTTTCTTCTTCTTCTTCTTCATTATTTTTAACCCAGGTATTCACAAAATCTCTATGAAATCACTATCCGACCTCATCTTTAAAGAACAGAGAACTCAGGGACCACGTGTGACAAAAAATATGATTTTTACAATATAGGTAAGAAAAATTGCTATACACGGAAAGAACAATTCACAGTAGGCAGCAACAACAAACACCAGAGGAGAATCTGATTTCTAGAGTTGCCACTTTATAACATTCCAAATGTCCAGTTTTCAACCAAAAAAATAGGTTTGTAAAGAAACTACACAGTATGGCCCATTAACAGGGAAAAAGAAATCACTAAAAATGGTCCATAAAGACGCCCAGGAAATGGACTTAGACAAAGGCTTAAATCAACTTAAATATTCTTGAAGAGCTAAAGAAAACCATGGAAAAAGAACTAAAGGAAAC